GTATGCGTGACTTCCTGGGGGTCATAAAAGTAATCTCCTCACCCAAGCTACACCAAATTCCTCTACACAACATACAAAACACAGTTAACATATTACAAACACTGAGACTCCCATTCTGCATCCACTGGGCCATTGGTCTCTTGTTGTCTTACATTTACGGATAAGCATGTGGAGTTATAACAATTATGAGTTTTTATTAAAGGTACAAGCATCAGCAATCCCCAACTGTAGCTTCCTGTCTCCTTTTATGACACCAGACCCCCAGTGTCCATAAATTCCTTTCTCTCTAAAGAATTACACACACTCTCAGGCTACAACTAAGCCAAACGAAAACACACAGACAAATCCTTCCTTATTCCTCTGATCTAAACAAATTTAACACATCATATTATAATAATTATTTTCTTGTACTAACAGCACTAATTCTGGGAGAAACCCATGCAGCACAGTTATTGTTCAAAATACAAATTCCATTTGAAAGGGGACCAGCTGAGTTATATTCAAATGTGGGGACCCTTTAATGCAATGATGCCAAACAGTGCACCATTGTGCCAACTTTATTGCCTTAGTTTAAAAAAAAAAATCTATTTACAAATAGTTTGTTCATTGAATTTAATTTTAGTGCTGTGAGTACAAGAAAATAATTATTATAATATGATGTGTTAAATTTGTTTAGATCAGAGGAATAAGGAAGGATTTGTCTGTGTGTTTTAGTTTGGCTTAGTTGTAGGCCTGAGAGTAAGCCTACAGCGAAATAGTATTATTTATGTATTATATACCTATAAATATAGATATATTAGCATATTGATGTTTTTATAAAACGTGAAAAAACAAAAACTGAAATTTTGATCCATAGATTAACCAGTAATTTAAGCTGTTAATAATGTTCTGCCATTTAGTTAATTAGTTAACAATGCCAGGTTTGTGCACATCATAAATAGCCTTAGCACATTGTTTAAAGAAGGTGACCTCAGCAAGAGGTCATGTTAGGATGTTGCCCCCACATATTGCACATTTAATGGCCGGTGTTGCTGTTTGTCTTCAGTTTTTCAAGTGAGATGGAAACTGATGTTGACTCACTGCATCATTTGAAATGTTTAGCTACCATTAGCATAATACAGTGAGGCATCTCGCATTTAATGTGCCAGAAAAAAAGACTTGGTACATCCTAGTATTTGAAATGCAGCATGCCAAAATACCAGGAATTTCTTCTGTATCAGCTGCATTTTGCAGCCAGCACCCACACAGGATTGTGATAAATGTACTGTTTAATTACAGTTAACCTATTAAAGAGTTCTTCAAATCATGATGAGGGAGCACTTGGGAACCAAAGCAAACTATAAGATTTAGCATAAATATTACATATTGGTCCATTGTAAGAAGGAAAACACATGGATCTTTTAGTGTACAAGATACCTTTGAACAGGGGCGGAGCGTGGGGGTGGCTTACTGGGCTTAAGCCCGGGTTGTTTTGTCAGAAGCCCGGGGTCTTTTGGAGTGTAATTTTTTCATAGTTAGATGCCTGGCTGACAACTGTATAAAACAAAAACTACACACAATATTCGAAGCACATAGTGCACACTGTGGGAATTTACGACTGTGCGTGAATCCCCCCTGATATTGGTATGATCCGAGCTCAGGCACTAAGCGACTGAGCGAGGGGGCGGGGCAGCTGCTGCCTGTGAGTGCGCTGTTGGAGAAACGGAGCCAGCCATACTAAGCAGAGCTTAAGTTTGACCAGGTACCAAAGCAAATAATTCGTACTGTACAAATAATGTAAATATGACGGTGCATCACGAAAGATTGATATCAAACTGATCACTTGACCAATATTACGTTACTTGCTCTTCAAGTGAATCAACAAATGGCGAAATGAAAAGCCGAACAAATGCTATTTTTTTAGAGAGTCTTAGCTTACGTGTGTTTATTTCATATTTTCAGTTCTTACCCTCCCCGACTAAATCGGTTTCAGTTATGTACTGAAATATAAGAATGGACATTAGAGGGTTCTTTCAAAGAAAAACTCAGGTAAATGTTATTTTATATATTATGCTTTGTATGTTGTTCAGTATATTTCTATGCAAAACAAGAGGGATTTCAGTACACAGCAGGATATTCACAGTTTAAACCAGATATTTACACTTTAGGGAGAAAACATTTTTACTGTACAACATCAATTTAGAGTAAACTTTTGTTTTAGATAAATATTGAAACATCTTTTGAATTAGTTAAATGTCAGAATAAAGAGAGACAGAGCTTCTATTTTTATCACTTTCATCAAATTTAGGAGTACATATACACTAAGTTTATTGTTAATTAATAAGAAAACTGCAGACGATTCCATTCTGAGCTGAAGAAGCTTCTGATAGGTTCGTAGAGTCCATGTGAGTAAACTGGTGGCACAGCTGTGGATGCATATAAGGCAAAACACAGAGCCTGTTTCTGTGACATGGGAAAATCAAGAGATGTCAACCAAACCACCAGGAAAAGAATTGTCCCACATGCATACTACCCTTTAGGGCTAAGCCCCGGGTGTTTCAAATGTCTGGCTCCACCTCTGCCTTTGAACATGCACCCACATAAAGGGCGGGGATATTGTTTTAACTTATAGTTAAAAGTAAAAGAAAAACATGGTTAATTAGCAATAAAACTTTAAGCATTAACTTATTTTTTTCTGGTTCAAAGTATTACATTTAAATCTGCTTTAGATATTCCCAGTACCTTCTACAGAGCATAGGTGTTCAATTAGACTGTTGCATTGCTCAAATTTTTGCTGTAAGAACCAATAATCTCATGATTCGGAAGAAGCAGACATATATATATCATAGCTAAGCATATGTCTAAGGAAAAAAAAGAATTTTAAAATATTTATTTTATTTTTTAATTGATCAAAATTTGTTTTAAACTACATCACAGCTATCAGGGAGATCAATTCCCCCCCCCCCCCGATCAAAAAGGCTGAAAACTCCTACAGTTATAGCTGTATTTAACAGTATCAATGGTCTGATCCAAGTTATCACTCTGTAACTTATTGTTATTAAAAATCTGTTATTCATTATGTGAAGTCAAAGAGACACAATGTTGTCAATGAAGGATGCCTTTAAAAATCTTTAACACTATTAAAGCTGATAATGTGACATTTAAATTATTATATAGCATTTCATACTAATAGCTTTGCTGCAATGCACTTTACTCTACATACTGGTCTTTTACAGTATGTCTACTTACAAGTTTTTTGCGTAATTTTTATCTACTTATAGTTAATCTGTTGGTGATACATTTCCATGTTATTGTAACCCGTCTGCAGATTAATCCAGACTTAATGTTGCTTAGTGCCAAAAATAATAACAAATGCCCCCTGTGTTTATTCCACATAATGTTGCACATGCAACTGAGTATTGATAGAAGTAATGTAAAAGGTTAACTGTACTTACTGCAGCCTATTTTTATAGTTACTGATATTCAGTATTACAATGGGTGTAAAATTAAAGGGTGACTTGCTTTTTGGGAAAATGTCAAGTAGCGATTTGAGGAACAGCAGATTTTATAACAGAATATTAATCTTTTACAGTATTATATTCCTGCTGTTGCTTGTCAGCATTTAAATAGTACAACTCAGAGGTTTTAAATTTTTACCTTTGGAAAATGTCAACAGAATAACGCATCTTAGAAGAGTTTATACATAATTTAATATTCTACAAAACACATCACAGATTAAGCAAACAAATATAAATATAAAAGATATTGACAAATATAGTGAATACAATGTAAAGTCTAAATGTATTACTAATTTACATTTACTTAAATTAATAACTTTCAAATCAACAATTTGTGTCTCAGTTTTCAAACATGGTTACATTATCGTGTGTTAACAACAAAGTTGGTGGTTATGTAGTACAAGTTTAACCATAAAGAGCAAAAAGTTTCCCTACCCATCAGTGGTGGACCGTAAAGGAGTCCACTAAGTCTAATATTCTTCTCTGTTCAATTTACTTTAGCACTGGATGCTACTTTCTCTTGTTACTCACTAAAATTGTCAGCAGTTGTTTTATACTTCATACTACATTTTTCACAAATGACTTAGTAACTAGCTTGCTAAAACAAGACAGTTTTGTTTCAAATATATGTTCAGTTAAACATTATCAAGATCTTGGATTCATTTCTTTGTTACCAGAAGACCTTTAATTCACATTGATGTTCCAAGCCTTTATGACTCTCCTGATGGGATGGACATAATTTTTCTAAAAGATGTCACCTTCTTTAGCAGTTTGATAAAAGTGGTGGCTTCCAAAATGTTCTTGCTTGGGTTGAGATACGGTGATATTCACTTGTATTAGGGGAGAGTACTTACAATGACCTTCTCAGAAACATTCATCTTAATTTTAAGATTTGTTTAGTTTTGTGACTCCTAAAAATAAAAATAGTCCTCCATGACTGACTCACAATAAAATACAATTTACTGGCAGTAGAAAGTAAGGACATTTTGCTGGTTTCCTCGTATGAGCACTGCAGGGCAATGAAGGCCACAGGTGAGAGTATCCAGCCAGGCCATGTAAAGAGCGCTGGGGCAGTCACTGTGTGGCACAGGAAGACTCCTACGTGGGGAAGAAAAAAAATCATTAAATAACAATTACATAAGCAGGGACAGTAAAACAAGAACAAAGTCTGCTACATGATGGGTAGCAGGATAGTAATAGATTTATATTTTCAGTGCAGTATAAGTTAAATCCTAACGCATGATGATTTTAGTAAACTGTGTACATATAAATATGGGGACTATGAGGGAAATGGGAGATCCTAACTAACTTTGATTTCTATTAAATATGAATTGCGATATAAACCGTGTACTCACACAAGCACAAGGGCAGTATGTTGTGAATTCCTGCGGATGATTTCATTCAGCCGTACTTTTCTCTCAGACTGTGAATAAAGGAAATACAAGTAGGAAACTGACTTAGTGTCACATAACGTGGGGATATTACACAATCATAAGGCATAGATACATTTAAAATGTTTTGCTCTGGACCTTTTGGAAGTCAATGATACACTCACACACACACACACACACACACACACACACACACACACACACACACACACACACACACACACACACACACACCTTTTGTTTGAAGGCCTCAAACTCCTTATCAGATATTTTCCATGGTTCTCTCTGTCTTAGCTCCTGATCTGTGACGCCTGTCTGCTGTTCATCATGCAGCCTGAAGGGGGCGACACTGTCCACAAACCTAGTCATGCTGCAAAGCAAAACACAACTGCTATGAAGAAAAAAACACATTCAGATAGGTGTGCCTCGTGGTGGTAATTGCAACTTTTTTCCAACATACTTCTTGGCTTGAGGGCGCTTCTCACTGTCTGTCATGACAATAACGTCACTGAAATGTAGACGAAAGCGCTTCAGCAGAGCAATCATTCTGAAACACACAACAGTCCACAAGTTCTCAAGTTCCAGAAATCATAAAGCACCCTTTCCTAGTATGTCCATAAACACCAAAGGGTCTGAAAGAATTACATCCAAACACAGACATATCAAACTGCACGAAAACCTACATTTAATTTTTTTTTTTTGAAAAAACAATAAATAAATAAATAATTCCAAATTTGTTGTCTGTTGTAAAATCTTCAAACTGAACATTTTCAGTTCTTAGAGGAAAAGAGTAATTCTGAATTCATCTTGATAACCACAAATTTTGCCAATGCAAAAGCCAACACTTTCCCCCCCGGGCGAAACAGAGTAAACTTACTCATTACGGCCTTCGTCCATGTTTTGTTCATCTCCGACGATGAAAACCCTGATCTTACAGTTACGCCAATGCTTTCTCCTGGTGATCAGGTAAGGTACCAGTAAAGTCAGTCCTGAAAATAGAAGAAGAGCATGACAGCAGCTAAGAAAACCAGGCCAACTCAAATTTATTTATTTTTTTGTTTATTTATTAGAAGAATAAACTGAAGAGGCTCCTCTGACTTTTTTTTCCCGTTGTTTGTTTGTTTATTTATTGCTACACTGCCGGACAGGACAGGGGGAAAAAAAGAAAGAAAAGCACTTCTGTGGGCTCACCTCCATCATCTGCTATCCAGTAGACATCGATAGACTTTTTCCCCTGGGTGCTCTGAAACACTGTTTTGATTTGATCACTGTTGCTGTTGTCGGACACGTCATCAGCTGCAAACACAAGAGAAAGCGTGTGTTATGTGTGGGCAGTGATTACTGCCTTAATAATTACAAAGTTATAATGCAATCTAAGGTGTGCCAGTGCAATAATGATTTCTTGTTCACTGTCCTCATCCTCTCATACATTATCCTAAGCACCATTGCAGTGCATATCAATTTAGGAAGGGAACAATCCATTAGAGGTACTTTAGTCAAATTAAATCAATTTAAAACTTTAATCTTGAACTTTAAGAAATGCAATCATAAATAGACCACTCACTTTATTAGGTTTTGAAATTACAGAGTGGAAATCTTATTTAAATCCGATATCCTTTTCAGTTCTA